GGGCAGTAATTTTTCTGTCAATACACAAGAGAAAACTTTGATTTCAAACTCATAGTCCGCAATCATTTTAGGTTTAAAGTCCTCGAAGTCTTCTAGCATTTTGTTTAACTCTTTCCAGGTAAGGGCTGGATCTTTAATAACTATAGGTGGGATTTTGGAACTCCGTCTCCGGTACTGGGATCTAGTATCCCGCGAGGAGTCTTGACCGTCATCAAGAGGTCCTTCGCTGGGATTGCTGCTATTTGCTGCGAGTGACGAGGCTCCGTTAGAAGGTTCCTGATTAGTCGTAGCGGTCGTGTCGTCTGTCTTCGATGTTTGCTGGGCTAGTGGAATGATTTTCTGTGGTTTCAGCACTTGCGTAGCTCCAAAGAAGATTACCTCGCTAGCTACTTCAGGAAACTTTTGCGTTTTGGACTTTTTTCTTAGCAGCTTTTTTCTTTGGCTGGCTTTGGACAGGAGAGTTGGTTTCTTCAGGTGCTAGAGTGGTTTCTTCGTTCTCTGACAGCTGTGCAAATCTGTTGTTGCGAAGAACATCAGTATCACATGCGGGGCTCAGAGGTCTTTTATTTCTAATCTGTGTATCCATCTTTTCCATATCCGGTAAATCTTGTTTCTCGGGAGCAGCTGCTTTTTTACGGATCCATTTTCACGCGAGTCAGGAACATTTTGCAGTTTTAATCCTGGTTACAGCAGTACCAAGTCTAGCCCATCGTCCTTACCAAGGTGCACAAGCTTAGAAATGAATTTAAAAGCTATTTCGTCTTTAAAACTCAAGGCGGAGATTTTGTTGAGTTCCCCAAGACGGGTGAATTCAACTAGTAGTTGCCTTACTAAATCCATGGCCGATCAGTTATTTACGGGAAAAAAGTTTGAAAATTAATCACAGGCTTTTCAGAAAAACTTACTTTAGCAGGAAATTCTCGAGAGTACAGTACGAGAAGTCAGAAGAGCTCGAAATCTCGAAAGTTCTCACAGAGAGCTCTCAACAATCATGGAGCAAATGAAAAGGACGTCCTACACTTATAGCGTCCAAACTCCGAATCGCCATTAAAAGCTATCATATATACATGCATATATACAGGGTGACTACTAAAGTCCTGTACCACCCATTTAACTGCCGATCGGCTGCCGTAATAGTTACGAAAGTCGTGTCTAGGTATAGTAAAGTGGCTGTGCGCTACTAGATGAGACAGCTTACAGTGCCACCTGATGGAAAATTGAAGAGTTAGCGTTCCTATCTCAAAAACAGCACGAGATAGAAGGAAAAACGTGATTCACAAAGTTGTACAGCATCATCGATTTAATATCAAAAGGCACTTTAGGAACATGATTGTTAATAACATAATATTTTAAACGCGCATTTGTTTCTTCGCAATTTCCTGCACTGCAACCTGTTGAAACGGTCTTAGAAAGAAAAAAAACAAACTAGTTATCACAAGAATATCTTTATTTTCGATTTTCAAACTTCTCCCCGTCAGCTTATGAGGTATTTCTCCCGCCTTCTTAGCGTGAACTCGCGGTGTAGTGGCCTGCACGCTGGTTCCATTCCCGGCGAAGGCGGTTGCTAAATTTTCATGACTATTGCTTCCAAAAATCCCTAATGTCTCTGCAAGCTGAAATGCACATCTGAACCCTTGTTAGAATTTCGTTTCGCACGTTTCAGCAATGCAGGTGATACATTTGCACAAGTATCTGTAACATTAAACGTCCCGTAATGTTTACTGAGGCATCACACCTCACCTGCTGTCTGAGGTATCTCCGCAGTAAAAGGTTCATTGGAGTCCGGTCATATGAACGTGGAAGCCACTCTTCGTAGCCAGCTTAAAGGATTATTCGTTCTTCGAATTCCTCCATCACATACTGCTTCAGCGATGATGTCTTGTACATATGCGCACCGTCATGTTGGAACCATCCATTCCGGATTTGAAGTTATGCCACTTTCTCAACAAAATTGAGTATAACGTTTTGCAGAAGTTCTAAATATCGTGCGATCGTTAATTTACTTTGGTTAAAATATTGGGCCGATTAGACTGTTATTGTAAATTACAAAGCAAACATTAATCGAAAAACGTATTTGATATCGAACGTCGCCAAATTAAGAGGGATTTTCCAGTTCTCAGTAAGGGTAATTTGGCGTTCTGCCTATTTTACATTTCATTCCGCAAAAATCATGTCTTATGCGTCCACACTAAATCTGCCAAGAATGTTGGCTGGACCTCTGTCTGGTTCACGACGAAGTTGTACCATCCGAAATGTTTCTTGACATTCCCGCCCAGTAAAGACTGCTGGTTGGTATGAGTGAGTACCAAATTCGTTTAGGGTATTCCAAACACGACTTTTCGAGGAGCTACAGTTTCTACTTATCTCTCTTGTGCTGCTGTTTGGATATGTGAGGCCGTATGGTAATACATCTTTCGGTTGTACTTTCCGTCCTATCTTAGCTGGTCTGCCGGATTAAAGTCAGTCACGCAGCCTGTCTGTCTTAAAGGTTTCACAACCTGTAGGATGTTTTTGTGTTAAGGTTATGGGTCTGCAGGAATACGTTGCCTATGCAACTGATGCTGCCGATCGTGCTTTGTGCCCACATCCGCCGTGAAGTAGAACCATCTACTACCATTTTTTGAAAATCTCTCTATTACCATGAGCTACAGCATACAACTCGGAGGCAATATATCTTATGTAGCCGTCTCAGGTGAACAGATGTGACGTTTCATACTCTATCTGCATAATGCAAAAATTTCACCCGCCAAGCTCAAGTTGCGTTGAATTGATGCGTTTTGAGACCCATTTGTGCACGATTTGCTTATTGTCTACTCTGTTGTACAGATAATCAATATAAGGAGACAACCCGCGGTGTTTGAATCACAGTCCTCTCGATTGTGACTTACAAGCGACATCAATGTGCCGCGATAAGGGCTCGTTTTTCATCCGAAAGACAATCTTTTCTTCTTTCGTTCAAGTTTCATGACGTCGCAGCTTGAGGTAGAGCTGTACGCCAGAAGACCTGCTGTTTGTGTCCCGATTTCTGCAGCATACAAGAGAGCGTGTTTTTCATAGTTCATACAACATGCACCCTGGACCGGACTTCAGTAGGGGGGCGTGCGTTTAACAGATGAGTCGAGATTCAGCCTGGACATTGATTCTGGGCGTACCTGCATCTGGAGAGAGCATGGAACGAAATGACAGCCCCTCCCTCATCAGATAAAAGGAATATTACGATGGTGGAGGTATAATAGTTTAGGCAGCCGTTTACGTTGGACTGCTGCACACCCCTGAATGTGTTTGACAAAAGCTCCCTGACTGCTATGAGCTATGGAGAGGATAATCTATGTTCGAATTTTCAGGGCCGCAGTTGGTCCTGGGTACCAATTAATGGACAACAAAGCTCGTCCACATAAAGCTCAGCTGATCGACGATTACCTGGAAAGTGAGGATAATCTCCCCATGTATTAACCAGCCATATCTCCTGATCTTATCCCTACATATCCATGTCTCGGACACTCTTGGGAGGGAAATTTAATCTCGCCATAACCCTCAAAGAACAATCCCGGAGTTAAAAAATGCCTTTCTGCAGGAGTGGGATCGACTGCAACAGGGACTCCTCAACTGCCTCCTGTCCATCCAACATATCGTTAGCTGCGTGACCTGTCTGGCTGCAAGAGGGGACCACACCCCACATCAGACACATTTTCAGCTATATATCACAATGCTGATTTGGGGCATTCCTGTCCTATGAGCTTTAATGATAATCATGCGTACATAAAATGATTTTGAATGATACATCTCTTTCTCTGTTATATATGCATAGTCATACAAAATTTATTAAAATCTGTCAATTAGAGTTTTCAGAAATTCGACATAATGTGCAAATTCTCTTAATTTTCCACACGAGAGAACATCTTTTCATATATATATTGTTTACCATAGAAAGAAATTATTTATGGCAAAATATTTATTTTTATAACTTTACTTTATAATTAAACATTTGGGGTTGTGAATGAAAATGTTTAAGAAGTGCTGTTTTATAGCAATAACGCACTATTAAAGACATAGAAAAAATATATAACTCAATTCATAAGAATTATGTAACATTTTGATCTTCAACATGCTTAATATTCAGATTTACAGAAGCAGGTTCTTAATATTTCTTCTGTCCATTTATGTATGAGAAAGAACAGAATATGAATTTAAAGCTTTAAAACGCAACGTGTGATGGTCTATCTGCAGAACCAAATCAAAACATTTGCGAAAGATGATCATCTTTTCTCAAATTTATAAAATTTACGGAGTTGCACCTCTTACGATATGAAACTTAATGATCTAGCTTCGTTTAATATTAACAATAGATTGTCTTATGAATGGTGAAGAAAAATGCAAAGAATTCTTGGTTCGCAAGTTCCCAGATTTAATGTTTATAAACTTCTATTTTTGTGAATATGTAGGTTTCAGGAATCACGGTTGTGTACCACTTATCCCTCTTCAATACAAGAAATGAAAGATATAATGGAATGTGAAGTATTTGTTGTTCATAGATGCGCTGCTTAGAGCTGCACTAGATGTTATCAACTCATTTCCTGTGATCGAATGTAACAGCAGACATCTTAATTGAACATCTATTTTAATAAAATGCTTGAATGTGCTTCGTTAACGCTCCATATAATACTAAATTTAAAATTACATATGCCCTTTTTTATGATTAAAAAATCGATTTTACCACAAATCATATTCGTCCGTAAGTTATATGTTTTTGAAATTTTGATCTACTTGCCCTCTGTCCATATATATGTGTATTAATGAAACATGTATTTAAAATTTTATCATTGAATAAACTGAGGTATAGATCTCATTTAAAAGGAAGGCAGAATGAACAGAATGTTAGGAGGGCATCTAAATGTTCCACCGACTGTAATATTTCTGCATTCTTTTAAGGCAGACTATACAAAAGAGTGCTGGCGTGTGAGTTTGCTAAAATTTTGATAGAGGTTATAATAAGATATCCATGAGTTTATTATATTTGAAGGTAAAAATTATAACTTCTACGAATTATCTTAATTCTTACATTTCTCTGAAAAAGAACAAGAGCTAATGGTCTAATTTTTTTTATTTTATTAAGGATGATTGAAAGTTTGCAAATGTGAATAATGGAACTTCTTCAATAACTAATCAATGCAAATGATGATTTAATGTAAATTTATTCTATAGAAATTCAAACAGAAAGATATTTTAAGCCATGTTGTTGATATGAATTCTTTCCTTTGCTTCAAAAAGTTCATCACCTCACTTGTAGTGAATAATATTAGTAATCTTCTCATCATCCTGAAAAATAAAATTAATGCTGTACATGTTTAATCTCCATTTTCTTCACAAAATTAAGAGTTGCCACACACAGTTGTTTATTCAATTTACTAGGAAATAAGTAGAAGTCCTGTTTCGCTGGCTGCTCTCTATATAAACAGTAGAACCTTGCATTTGGAACCTTTGCCACATATTCCATTTAGCTTAACAAAGCATCAGAGACTAGAGATGAAATTTAATTGTATTATAAGTTCTTTCTTCATCATTAATTTTCCTTATGCAAAATAGATTTCCATTCATTTGCCAGTCAAGAGCACAAGAACACTAAATCTTTTATACAAGAATATATTTTAAGCTATCACAGTTTATGACAAAATATGGATCAGTCAAAGGGAAAAGGAGCACTGGCATCATATCCCCATTCCCACATATCTCTGCGGTTGATTGTTCTCTCAGGTAGCTGCCAGAAATGATTTCCTTTGGAGCAAACGATGAAGTTTGGCTTTCGCAAAATATCATCGTATTTTAAAGTCTAAATACATCATAGCCTCCAACAAGGTAAACGAAACATTACCCTAATTGTTTCTGTTAGGGTAAAGTTACATTTTCTAAAAGAAATGCTCTATTCTCTTGTTGGTATTGTGCTAAAGACAAATGCCCTGCGAACGAATCAGGAGCTATTCCAGAATATCTCAGTCTGTAAGCATCGTTTTCTCCGCCATCATCTTTCAGTAATGTACTTAAATGGGGAGCTGGTCCAGGAACTCTTTCAAGGAGAGGTGGGGAAGTGCGATCAAGAGCCTCACATCTGAAATAAGAATTACAAAATTTTAAAATTATATTAGAATATTCGGTTAAAGCAAAGATTTATCCATAACATAGAAATAAATATAAATAGGATTAAGAAATTTTTAAAAAATCTTAATTCTACAAAATATTACTAATTGCTAACAGGCTATAATCAATGTAAAATTTCCCTTTTAACTCTCTTTCCATAACCGAACTATGATATTTGTAGATCTACAGTGCCGAATGTATTTGTATGAATAATAAGTATGACTTATTAAAATTGAAATATCTGCATATATAAATAAACAAATTTGTTTTATAGTGTTTATCATGTTCAATATTTTACAATAAAACTATATTCGATAAAACGATATTATTATATTCGTTTTCAGTGACACCATCATCAAATGGAATGCAATGTTTTAACAAAGAAATGTGAAAAAATGCAAGAAAATTTTAATATATGTCAGCTACTATAAAATTTTAAAATGTGCTTTTTAAACTAACGTCTACAGTGAATAATTTTGATGCACTTTTGAAATACCATTATTTCAATTTTAGCAATTAACTTTATTATCATTGAAAGAGAATCAAGCTTGCAACATATTGCACTACTTCTCTCTACCGCTTATAAACATGCCTGTATAATTCATGGTTCACACTTTCTGGAGTATTTAAAAACTGCTTGAAAAATCATTTAATTACATGTAGTTTCAATGAATTTAGTATGATGTTAAGAAGATAATTGAAAATTGCAACCAAACTTTTGTAGAACTTTTCTAGTATTTTAATTTGTCACTGCATATTTCATTGTTTAAAGCTATCATTAGAAGTTACGATAAAAAGCACAACGAATCCACAATTATTTGTACTTTCTGTTTTTGTAAATAGTACATTACACTAAAATTCGAGTTAAAATAGCACCCCGAAAAACGATTATTGGAGGAGTTAAAGCTGCAATAATCAGCGCAATATTTATAAATTTGCAAAACTAATTTCGAAGGCTTAAATTTAGAACCTTCTTTTCAGCTGCAGGAGTGCAAATGACGAAAGAGCAGCCAGCGATAAGGCGATAAGAATGAGAGGAAGAAATTCAAGCCACTAACGCCATCTATTGATGAAAAAAAAGAAATATGAAATAATGAAAGGTATGAATTATGAAAAATGAGACACCTATGAAAAGCGGAGGGTAAAGATGGACTGGAATTGAGATCATAAACTCTGAAAGATTTTTATGTATGCGAAACGTCTCCAGAAAATCCAATTCGCCAACGGAAGATGTTTTTTTGAATAATTTTCGCTGCACAAAAGGGGAAAATGTTATATTTTGATCAACAATATTCGGCAAAATGGATTTATGTATTTCTCTTTTCGTAACTTATGCTTCATGTCCTTCAGCGCGAAATTTTAAGACTGTCTCAGTTTTACCAATGTTAATGACCACAGTGGGAAGAAATCCTGTATTTTCCACAAGAGTTTGTATACGGAATGGAGTACTTAAGTATGGAACTGCGAATTTTTTATTGACAGAAGAGAAAACGATCCGAAAGTTTTTTAGCTAATCGATAGAAAGCATGACAACAGAAGCATGGCATGACAACAGAAGCATGGCATGACAACAGAATTCTTATAAGCTTCTGAACGAGAGGCTGCCTTTGGACGTTTAGAGATGACAATTTTGTGACCGCTTGGTCAATAACGAAGTGAAAAGCCTCTGTCAATAGCACCTGCTTTTAAGCAGTTTAGTTCTTGATAAAAATCCGACCTGGAGGAGCAAACTTGAAGCCCACGAAAAACAAAGCAATTAAATGAAGCTAACTTCTGTTTAGTCGAATGGCATGATCTAGCGAAGAGATGAAGGTTTACGTTAAAGAGTAGTACTGAAGTTGGATATGATGCCTGTGACACCAAGATGTGGAGGAGCGGAAGAGAATCGGATGTCTCAAGTTCGAAAATGAACGGAATAAAAAGATCAGTGGAAATCATTATTGAAAGAAATTTACTATTACCGTCAAACAGGGTAAAGGCACTATCAACGTAGTGGGACCACACCGGATAGTTTAAAATTTCAAATAGTTTTGATTCATAATAACGCGTGTAGATATCAGCAAGGATATGACAAAGAGGGTATCATTGATCATAGATTACCTGAAGCTGTCGATAAAAACTACAAAACTGAAATAACTGTCTCATTATAGTGTTTAACTTTGGTAAAAATACTAGATGTGAATTGAGTGAGAACGGGAATTAACAGCCATACATTTTCAATACGGATTACTTTTACTACGAATGTAATGTATAGAGTGTCTTTAACTAAAGTTACCCGTTCTGAGTAAACTTCAGCGGTAATATCCACGAGAAGATTGGGATTTCTTAAAAGTGTGTTGATGAAGCGACGGGAAAAAATGAAGGGAAGAAAATTTAGTTTCAATTTTGATACTGGAGAGCGTTTTTACGTGTGAAATAAGCGTAAGTGCGAATATTCGCAACCATGGTGATGTGCCACAGGACTAGCAGACGGTCACTTATTTAATTACTCGTAGAAGAGCTGCTTCCAGTATCATTTCTTCACCGTGATGTTGAGTTGACAAAAACATGCTTTGCAGATGAATTTCTTTAAAAATAATGCTTACTGTGCACCAACAACTTTATGAAGATTTCAGTCTCTGAAAGTCTTTGAAGATGTCTGTCATTACTGATGGACTACGGAAATATATTACAAAATTTGCAGGAATAGAGAATCGTTGTCCATTAAGCCTAGGGCAGAAATAAAATGTGTTCACTCATAAATACTTGGAGAATTTAGAGACAAAAACGTATGTCTACAATATGCCAAACTACATCACAAGCATTAATATCTCGCTCATCACACTAGCATTAGATCAGGCAATTACCACAGCCCATAAGAACATTTTACACTGTTGTTCGTACAAACCTCCTGTTGTAGATGTAATCGCGCATCAATTATTTAATTTTATAATATTATTTTATGCTTTGAAATGAAACGTAAAGCATGTTTAGTCTACCTCTTAGATGGGAAACTTTAGTGAGACTGTGACTAGTGGATTCAGTCAGTTCCACGTATGCATAAACCAAGACGCAGTTATTTCTAGTAGATCTCAGTAGCAGTAATTGCTGTTGGCTGCATTTTTGTAGCGCCAAACCCTTAAGGTTGTCTAATTCCTTTTTCTGCATCTTTCCGTTATGCATTAAAATAAACGTTTTCGGTCTAATGGAAACCTCAGATTTATTTATAACTGAACACTTTCTTTTATTCAAGAAGTCGAATCTATTAATCTGGTTACACATCAGGTTTCCTCACTACAGCGCCTTCCTAGCAAGGATATCGACACAGAAAGGTACTGGGCATCATGCTGGCACTGCAGGCCTTGGAGCAATAACCTTAATGCAGGATGGTGCTTCTTCACAATACCTGTTGTGCTAAACAACTTGTAGAGACATTGGGTTATTTTGAAGCAGGCTGACATGAAAAATGAGCAATGCCCTCGTCGGGACTCGAACCTGGACCTGTCGAATATGAGCCGAGTTTGCTAACCGTTACACCACGAAGGCATGCCGAAAGGCGGGAGAAAATACTTTATACACTTTCCCATTTAGAAGGCGACTGGGGATTAGGGGACCCAATCGCCAAATTCTGGAGATAAAGGATCATCATCCACTATCTTTCAGTTCGGGCGCCACTGTACAGCTATTAGGTTATTTCGAATCAGGCCGACATGAAAAATGAGCAATGCCCTCGCCGGGACTCAAACCTGGACCTCTTGAATACGGGCCGAGTGTGCTAACCGTTACACCACGAAGACGTGCAGAAAGGGAAGGAGAAAATACCTTATAAACTGCTCAGCGCGTACTTTTTAGGCAAAAAAAGTTATCAGTCTCCATTTCTTTAAAGTTCGCTCTGCTCGCTACCTTAATCTGTGTGATAACTGAATCTTTTGACTCTGGAGCTAATTGGAAGACCTGATCTCGCGCGACAACTTAATGTCTTTGGTAGATCTGAAAGAAAGTATATTCTATTTCATCGCAACGTTTCAAGGTATATATTAAGCTCGACAGTTGAGCAGCTTTAAGACATCAAAATGGCGTATTTTAACATTTCAGCTGGCTGTTTTGAGTCTTCAGATGCCCCTAAAAAAATCAGCATTGTAGTTTAATGTCCAATTCTGAATAAAACAGTAATGCTTCTTCTAATGTTGAAATTTGAAACTAACTTTTCGCCCATTTCTTTCCTCTTATTTCATTCAGGCAGTTCTAAAATTACATAAGTTTCTGATAAACACTCCGTTGGAAAAGGTGAACTCTAACTGAACAGCTCTATATGATCCTCAGCGGAAGACGGTATGCATAATTGAAGTCAACATTCGCAATGTTAAGGTCTGAGATCAAACGATTAACTAAATTCTACATAACAAAAGTCTGATATCTGTTTCCTTCCATCCTGTTGAAAATGACATTAGTAAGCGTTCGTGTTCTGAAACAATACAGCTGAAATACAATTGCAAGAATTAGCCTTATGGAACCTGGAAAATATGGAATCTAAGGTTTCCAAAGCATTGGCATGGTATTATTAAATAATCATAGAATTCTTTAAACATCTCATAGCCTTTTTGGATTATAAAAGTTTATTAAACTGGGAAATTTTTCTAGGTTCTGCAAGAGAAAGTTTTCTCTGTCATTACGCAAGAGAAAGCTTCGATTGTATTAATTCTCATTTAATTATTGAAAAATACGCATTTTTTACTTACTTGCATTTATCAACGTTAAAGACTGAGCCAGTTGAACAGTCTGATTGATGTCTACATTTACATTCGCAATCTTTATTGTCCCAGAATTGCTCCGGTTGCTTGCAAAGGCTTGCATCATGCTGATTTCGACATACACATCGGCACTGGCCTGGTTGGTATTTCTGTTTCGGTGTGCAGTCCTGTTCTTCTTGGCGGCATTTACAAGCACAACGGTCATGCTGCTCCAATTTGACATTTTCATAGCCTTCCAACTCTAACATTTCTGCTTCTGGATGAGGATACCTTGCTTTAATTACCTAGTATCATTGATATAAAATATTGATACGGATTTTGTATAAATGAAAATAATTTTAGTGACATTTTACATGAAATTGTAGAATTTATTTGTATAAAGTAACATGAAAATCTAAAGAAGTTTAAAGCTTTTCCAGAAAATTAAGAATACAGGGGAAAGTCCTTTTAACATTGAATAAATGGCTATGCCGATAAATTGGGGAGATATCACTAAGCTGGCGATGATTTTGGCGATTACATTTTGTCGCCAAATTTGGCAAGAAATCGGCAAATGTCACCAAACGTGGTCCATTTGGCGATATTTTGGTCCGACCTCTGTGTAATTGTAATGGGTATTGAAATTGAATAACTGATGCTATATATAGCTGTAACCGTATCCGGTCTTCATATGCCTTCCAGTAATTACGAAACGTGGAAGGTACTAGAAATCTCTCGAGGATCGAGAGAAAATTATATAAGACCGGGAGAGCGCATCAGTTTCTGAGTAGTTGTTTAGTTCAGCGTGAGTTCGCAAGATTTAAATATTTTCGTGTGAGCTTCGCTCTATAGATGTGCTTTGCATTGCATTGTATTTGACGTTCTTAGAAGCTTAAAGTGTAACTACTAACTCTAGGCTGCGATATTGTGAAGAGCTGTATGATTATTTTTGTTGAAAGTTCCAGAACTGTGAGGTGTTTCTTTTGGTAAAATAAATTATATCAATTTAACATCAGTTCTGTGTGCATTCAATAAATTACGAACCCGTGCGCACGCAAAAGTTTTCGGTGCCAGAAGTGGGATTGAATGCCTATGACAAGAGCAATCGATGAGCAATTAATACAGCTGGTGGCAGCCTTTGATGAATTCAAAGAAAAATGAAAGCAGGAAAAGAATCCGTTCAAGGCGAAATGAAAGGGGGCAAGAAGAGATTGAAACAGGTCATGAAGAAATGTAAAGAGAAATTACTGCTCTAATTGAAAACAAATTCGCGGCTAGGGGACGCAGAACAGACACAGTTGAAATCAAAGGTGGAGAAATTCAAAAAAGAGTTTCTGTTGTCGAACAACAAATCAAAGAATGTATTTTTGCCGTCCAACAACAAATAGAACAATAAATTGATGAAGGGTTTCTACTGCTGTCGCCATGGAAGTTGAAAGTTTAAAGAAATTCATAACGACAGCTGATAACAATTCTAACGTCTTTAAATTCGTATATATATATTGCCCGACCCTCTGTAACCTATCCACATACGATGCAAAGACCTCCTGGCAAGTATACGAGGAAAGTTCTCAAGTGTTCTTTATAGTCGCAAACGCAAATGGATGGGATTCCGAAGCCAAAACCTGCAATAAATCTCGCGAATAGAAGCCCACATTCCAGGAGCTCGCCACGGATGTTGAAAGGCTATCTCATCTCGCTTTTTCATACTGCCCAACAGAAGCAAAGAAAATATTGTCCTTGCATTATTTCATCGATGGCATCAGGGATTCTGAGTTACAGAAAGCCCTGAGAATGGGGATATCAAGAATTTAAAAAGCGCTTTAGTGTATGCAATGAAATTTGAGGCAATCCAGCAAGCAACTTGTAGAGACCGCCACCCAAACAGAGCTGCTCAAGTCCAGCAGCCAGTGGATCAAGTGACTGCTTGTCTAGAGCATTTAACAAGTCAATGCCTTAAGACGGAATAGGAGTGACAAGAAATATGCCATAAAGTGTTCGAATTGCGGTGCTGAAGGCCACGTACGAAGGAAATGCAGAATACCACATAGCACGAAAAGTAAGACCGCTCCCCACAAAGTACGCATAAAAGAAATTAGTGGCCATCTCGCGGAGCAGAGTTTCAGTCAGAAGCCCCATTTTAAAGCACTTCAGAGTTCTACAATAAGTGGTGGTAGTAATTTACTTTTCATCATGAAGTTGCTTGGAATATAACTATTGATACTGATATTGAGTCAATGTTCCATCAACCGGAAAGCTTTAGCTCGACATTTGTAATGTAAACTCATCTGGAGGCCACCTTGTGCTGCCCCCTAATCCGTATCCGGTGATAAAATCAAAATTGATGGTAAGTTAAACGTTAACATCACGTTTGGGAATGCCGACTGCCATCACACGGCATATGTAGCAGATATTACCGATACTTGCATACTCGGATTATACTTTCTAAGGAAAAATCATATTTTCTTGGACTTTAAAAATAGCGAACTGCGTTCTGCCTCTGAGGACCCTTTTCTAAATTAATGATGAAGGAGTTAAATCCGTCCACCAGATAACAGCTCAGGGCAATATCATAGTACCGGCAAGAACAGAATTTAATTAAGCTGAAACAGTTGCAGCATGTACTCTAGTCACCTGCCTGAAACGAATTTTTTGAATCTGAATCTGTGTCTTCAGGGAGCCTCAGTCTGTGGCTTCAGAAAGCCGAGTCATTCAAGAATTTCAAGATGTTTTCTTCCGCTCATCTTCTGTCGTAGGCAGAACCAGTTTGACACAGCATAGAATTGATACGGGAGATCATCCACCAATCAAACAACACAACATCCAAGACATCTATCATTTGCTAAACAAGAAGAGTTAGGAAAACTTCTAAAACGCATGTGAGAAAGTGACGTTATCTAGCTTTTAGCAAATCCTTGGGCCATCCCATCGTCTTGATCAGAAAGAAAATTATTGAACTAGATTTTGGGTTGACTATTGACGGATGAATGAGGTTACGAAGAAAGATACCTACCATCTTCCTAGAAATTACGATATTCTGATTACTCTCTCTGAAAGGAGAGATTTTCGACGCTTGATTTAAAGAGTGAATATTGGCAGGCAGAGATACAACCTGATGGCCTAGAAAAGACGCATTTACCACCGCATAAGAACTTTGGAAGTTCAAGATGATGCCGTTTGGATTATATACTTCTGCTGCGAACTGCTGATGGCAACAAGTACATCCTCGCTGTCATCGAATGCTTCACCAAATTGCCTGAAGTGTATCCATTTCTTGATAAAGAGGCTGTCACGGTAGCAGAGGTAATGGAATACTATTGGATTTCCAGGTTCGGAGTGCCTCTTCAGCTACATTCTGATCAAGGAAGGAATACTATCTCAGTTGTAATGAAAGAACTGTGTAAACCCCTCGGCATAGGGAAAACCGGAACGATATCTTTACATCCGCACTCTGACGGTATGGTACAGAGGTTTAATCCAACTAATCCTTAACAACCTCTCGTTGATGGTTTCCAGAAACTAACAGTATTGGTATCAGAAGTTACATCTGTAGCGGCCTATCCCAATGCTCTCCACTAGACTACCAGCTGTTCCCCATCCCAGACGCTCTTCAATCGTGACCTTCGTCTGCCTTGTAATCTGTTATTTGATCGCCTTCCCTATGCATTTCACCGCCTGAGGAGTACATTCATCAAGAGGCACGGTTTGAAGTGATGTACACTTTTGCTTGAGAGAAAGTTGACTTGGCGAAAGAGAAGCTGAAGACCCGATACGACACTAAAGCTACTGAACATCGATTCACCAAAGATGACAGTGTGTAGTACTGGAATTCGATTCGACGGAAAGGACTTTCTCCTAAACTACAGCCACCTTGGGACGATCCTTACACAATCCTAAACAGGCTGAACGACTTGGTAGTTCGGATCTGTAAGTCATCCAATTTTAAGCCTTTCACTATGGCCACAGTACGTAATCTTCTTTGTGTATATAATTTAAATAGTGTACAAAGGCCATAGTCTTATTTGTATGTAAATATGTAAATTTATACATTTACTTATTGAGTTAGCATGTCATTTGTGTTATATCATTTATTTAAATTATTGTTTCAGTACTGTATTGATTTTCCTTTGTTATAAGTATGGCTTCCTGTTCAAGGACTGTATTGCAAGGGACATGCAGTCCTTGGGAAGGGGACAATTTTCGGTACTTACGTATTATCGCAACCAGGTTGGCGCTATTTGTAAGTTTCAGTAAAAATGTATGAATAGAAAGAAAATGTACATTTATTAATTACAGATAATTTTTAATACAGTTTTTTATATTACTTTGTTTTAAAAATATAAATAGCAATTAAACCCTTCCGGTTTCGAATTTCAATAAGTTTGCAGAATTATTTTTTCGGCCGAAATCTTTTGGCTATTGCTTTTAGCACTGATTGAAAACCGTATTCACCATAACCATGTACACGTCGACTTATTTTTATTTAAAAAACATCCCAGAATTGCACAAAAATGGCATTGCGCACACTCTTGACTTTATCCATGTACACTGCTATTTTCTCATAAATTACAAAAATTTGCACGAAAATGCAGGAAAATTTTGTGAATCTCCACATGCTCTTTTTACAAAACTACGTATAACACGTAGGGTTGCCGTAAGTAGGGTCGCCAAATTTAGCAATTTATGCGAATTTTGGCCTGGTTGCGATAATACGTAAGTACCCAATTTTCTATTTACGTAAATAATTTTAGTAAAAATATATGTGAAATTACAGTGTTTTTTTTTTTTTTTTTTTTTTTTTTTTTTTTTGTATAATGTAACATGAAAAATCTGAAGAAGAGATGGGGAAAATACGAATACAGTGGCAAGTCTTTTTAACATTATGAAAATGGCTATCTCAGTAAGCTAGCGATGGTTTGAAGACTAATTTTTGTTGCCAAATTTGGCAAGACATCGTAAAACTCCATCAAACCTGGCAACAAATTTGGCGACATTTGGTCAGGTTACTGTATAACTGCCATGGGTATTGAAATTGAAAATAACTGTACTTGATGCTATATATAGTTCTCACCGTATCCGACTCTCATATGCTTCCCAGTAATTTCGAGAAGTGGAAGTTACTAGAAATCTCTCGGAGGCCCGGACAGTATGTGAGACTAAGGGAAGCATCAGTTTCTGAGTGGTAGTTGTTTAATACATGGTGAGTTCGGAGTACTGAGAGGTCTCCTGTGAGCTCCTTTAGATGAGCTTTGAATAGCGTTATGTTTAACGTTCTTAGTAGTATGAAATATAAATAATTAATGATTGTACTCCATAATACTGTGAAGAATTCTGCGAGTATTTCGCTCGAAATTTCGAGAACTGTGACGTGCTTCTTTTGATAAAATAAATTCTATCAAACTATCATCGGTTCTGTCTGCATTCAATCTATGATAAGCGCGGACGCCCCCTAGCAATATTTTAAGGTTACTTAATTCAGATATTACGAAACACTTGAATAAGAAACATTTTAATTTGCTCTAAAATTGTTCAGAAAAAATATGCGCATTTTTAATTTTTAAATGGCTATTAAAGAACTATGTCTAATTAAATCAATAGATCAAGATACACAGATTCAATCAATTCATAAAATTTCTGAAACTGTCTGATAAAAAGATTGCAAGTAAGGATTCTCATATGCTTACGATTAATTTACTGTCAATCCACTAAATGTCATGAGTATTAAGAAAATAGTTAACCAGTTAAACAAATTCAACCGTCTAATTTTATTAGTATTACATTTTTCAAAAGATTTCGTAATTCTTATGGAATATAGAGTTAACTGAATCATTTGAAAAATTTCGAAGTAAATCTGCCGAACAATTTAGCACTATTGATATTAAGAAATGTAGCTAATTCCTCTAAATCGTCTTCAGTAATGAAGAAAAAAGTATAAATATTAACTTAAGGTCTTCGAATAGGAATACTGTATGCACAACTATCAAGAAGTCAAGCATCCCCCTTTTTTTAAAAACTTCAATTGCATTTAAAATTCGTATGTATTTCATTTCTTTCGTTCTTAATTTACCTTGACTGTGATTGAACTTTTTCTTGTGGCTACGCAATGTAAAAGTTTGCTGCTACAACAGCCTCCACATCTGCGAACTCTGGTACAGATGGGCCAGATTACAAGCGATGGATCATAAGGCCTTTCGAATTCAACGATTTGCATTTCAGGAATGCAACCTGCAGGATGGGCTACCTCCACTGTACGTTCGCTATCTGGAAGAAACACAGTAATGAATAAATACATAAAAAAGAAGCGAATATAAAAATTTAGTTGATTAAAAACAATTTTAAGAGGAAAAATTACTATCGAATGGAAATTAAATATGAGCTCCTAGTAAAGTCTGGAATAACTTATATGGAATAACATAACAAGAAAGAGAGTTGAGAAAGTAAGATACTGGAGTTATATAATCCATTGATCGATGGGTTCAGGAAGACAGTTGAAACGGTCCCCGCTCACCAGCGCTTGAGATGACAGATATCCTATTCGCATCGCTATTAGAGATCGTAGTGACACAATACTTACACCGGAGCAGAAACACTAGAGTGTTGTACAATATCATATATCCGTATGTACACTGCGAAAAAAAAGGACAGTTTGATATCTCCCGCTACTAGGCCGATTGATGAAATTCAACTTGCGTTTTTCATGTCTTGAAAGCGCGACTTAGGATATGTATTAGATTTATAAATAGCATTGTTCTGATATAGGTATTTTGACACAAAATCGGACATTTTTCTGAAATAGCATACCAATTTTTTTCACACTTACATTCTACGACTCAAATTACCAAGTTTTATAAAAATCGCACGAGTAGTTTTCAAAAAATTAGCTCTCAAAATTTTAGCTTCACGATGTTAATTTAGTTTGGTATATATTTACTAATTTCTCTTTTTTTTATTAGACTTATTTGATTCTTCCTTTCACATTTCGAAATTTAGGTTCATTCCAAATAACATTCACCCATTTTTTATGATTTATTTTTAAAATTTGTATTTTTAAATAATTTTTGTAAATTTTTCAAAAAACATTTTGAATTATAAACTATTAAGTTTTTACCATCATCTTAAAGTAAACGTATTTCTAAGCATACCAGCAAAAATTGCAGTTTTTATTCAAAATTTCCGAAGATATATGTGAATATATATATTGGCGCGTTTTGAAATTTGGCATGTTTGTTGAAAGCGATAAAATTCAAATGTGGTTTAGACATTTTGCTAAAATTATTTGAAAGTAGGAACGAAGAGACTTTTTCCCCCGCTCATGTACAATGTGAAAAGGTAGGAATGAGGTGCCTTTTTTTTTTTGCTCCGGCATATTGGAAGAAAAAGGAAAATTGGTTCCCACATATATTAAGACGTTCGCCAAGTGAAATATTCTCGGCGCAAACTGAAAAAATTCCGCCAAGATAAATTTTTGAATTTCCCCGTAATTTTCGCACCAAATTTTACAAAATTTAATAAATTCGAAATATGGAAAATAATTGGTATGTTATTTATTTCGCTAAAAGTCCAATTTTGTGTCAAAATACCTATGTTAGAACAATGCTATGCATAAATCTAATGTATATCCTAAGTCGCGCTTAGGATATAGATTAGATAGGATATTTTATTGTTTTCTAAAAATTTATAAAAAATTATTAAAAAATACAAATTTTAAAAATGCGTCATAAAAATGGGCGAATTTTATATGGAATGAACCTACATTTGGAAATGTCAAAGGTAGGATCAAATAAGTTTAATAACAAAAGAGCTGTTAATAAATACATATCAAACTCTATTAACATTGAGGAGCTAAAATTTCGAGAGCTAATGTTTTAAAAACCACTCGGGCCATTTTTACAAAACTTGGCAGTTTGTCATAATTTGAGTTGTAGAATCGAAGTATTAAAATCAACTGGAATGTTATTTTAGAAAATGTCCGATTTTGTGTCAAAATACCTGTATTAGAACAATGGTATATTTAAATCTAATACATATCCTAAATCGCGTTTTCGAGACGTGAAAAACGCAAATTGAATTTCATCAATCGGCCCAGTAGAACGGCAGATATAGAACTGCTCCCCCATCTTTCCTTTTACAAGCGGTGTACTTTTTCATGGTATAGTAATTTGAATGGATTCTCTCTATATAAGTGCATAAAGTGTAATAACTGCAATAAATCTTACATTAAATCGTTCTAACAGTCTAATGAGAAAAATCACTGTATTTCTGAGAAAGAGCAAGAACGTGATTTCAGCACTGATGAATGAAATTAAGTAATACAAAATTGCAGAGACACGATGATATAAAGTAACTAACAGATTGTTAAATAATGCAATCTTAACATGAATGATGACTGAACACTAGCTTAAAGGGGTATAAATTATAATATTCTAGAAAAATATAATTTTTAGGGATATAATTCGACAAATAAATTAGAAGGCTATCTCTGTAAAGTAACCTTTTCGCCTTTATGAAGATAATGGAAATACAATTGAACAATTAAATGAATTTTGTTTCACTCTTTAATGCACCATCTAGTCAAAAAATAAGCATCAAAGTCAGAGCAAGGAATAAAACTAAAACTATTTAATGGATATTTGTTAAATTGATCCAAGAGGTTGTATGGCATTACTAGACAGCATAGCACACAATAAAACAAAGACATACAAAAGCACATGTATTATGAACATCACATCTCGAAAGACCACATTGATTGGAATAATGTGCAATGAAAACATCACACTAATAACGGGTATGATTCTCTTCAGCTGAAATGTATGCTTGACAACAGCGAGGCTAGCTGGCAATAGTGTCGCTGATCGCTTGTTGTGGCACTAGTAACAAGCCCATTCCTGCAGCCGGAGCTCGTGGAGGGTGCCTCGCCGCTCACTTTGATATGATATTCGTCGTCCCAGCTTGTCCCACACATGCTCTATGGGCTTCAGGTCCAGTGATATAGCAGGCCACGGCAGATGGGTAAAATTGTTTCACTCTCCAGAAAATTCGGACCAATCCAGCTCTATTCTGGCGGGCGTTATCATCCATAAATATGTCGTCGTTACCCAATGCAGTGATAAAAAAGGTTGTAGAATTTCATCGAGATATAGAACGGCTCTGACCAAACCACCAGAAATCACGTAGAGGTCGGTGCCGCCATTCGTTGTAATCCCAGCACATGCAAGTAAGTATCCTCCTCTATAATGGTCTCTTTCGACAATGTCTGGAAACCGATAGTGTGTCCTTGGCTCTCGCCATATCTGGGTCGTCCTGCAGCAACAGAGGGATGCTACGTCAGCTGTCTTGCAGTTAGTGATCTACGGTGTCTTGCACATAGCAGCAGGAAGCGATCTTCTACCATTGTCGTAATCCTCTGGCATCCAGACCCACGTCTTCTACAGGGTTTCGATCCCTTTGTTAACGATTCCACAGCCTAGTGATGGCACTACGATGCACATTCAGCTCTCTTACAGCAGTGGATTGTCTTGCACCAGCTTGCAACATCCCGAACGCCTACCAGCGTATTTCATCGTGCAAATAGTGTCATCTGCTCATGTCTTCCGCTATCTCGGATTACGCTGAACTATCGATGCTTGTGAACTGACGCATAGGTCCGGCATGCCTCTTATTAAGGCGTTGTGGTGTGACTGCAGGATGGCATTTTGTGCTAATTTTGGTTACCTATTTGCATTCGGAGATGCAAGCTGTACATCATAAAACTGTATGCTTTAAGTCACCTTTTTACTCTCGTACCTTTACTTTTAGTGTTTATTGCTTATATTTTTAAGACGAGTGTAGTTACACCAACTATCTATATGGATAAACTTGACAAATAATTGGCCTTTTCTTTGAGAGATCTCTCCCTAAGTTTTAATGCATACGGTTGAAACTTAATAATGAAAATTAGACATGAGCAATACAATTAAGTTAGTTTATAGAAACATTCTTAGAATAATCCTAATTACTTCAACATTTCTTTGTGAAAACCCTCACTAGGCAAAATATACGTCACAAAAGCAAACTTGAGTACTTCAGTTACGAATTAAAACCCTGCAATTTACTTTCATCTTTGAGCTATAAAGACACAGATTTTACAGTCTTAAGATCCTGTTATTTTAAAATAGTAATTGTGTTAAAAATTTACCTGACACTAATCATTACCAACAACAACAATGAGTACTGTTTCTCAAAATTAAAAAAGAATCAAAATACTGATTACTAGGGTGGTTGAAATGAAGCCGAATCACATGCCTTTGCTAGAGATCTAATAGTGGTAAATTAGTAAGACCGCTGAACACATATAATTTGATACAGGCTCTAATGCCTGCGAACGGGTTAGCTAAATAGTTTCCATCATTCTTCATATGAATAATATGAAAAGACATAGTTTCCTTTAGAAAATCTTCCGCGAAGGCCTCCCTTTCATTAGGCAGACTGTCCTCTTGTGCTTCGTCTTAATCAATTAGCCTACCAACCTATATATAGCCGCCCAGACAGGAAAATGGTTAGTGACTCTGACTGCCGTATCGAAGGGCCCGGGCTTGAATCACGGAGAGTGAGTGAGTGAGTGAGTGAGGTTTTTGGCGCAAAACCAAAGATGGTTATGACGCGCCAAACACTTGAATCACGGAGAAGACATGAATGTAAATTTTCGGTCCTTCATAGGAGGCAACGGTGTCTCTCCTATTAGGTGCCTCCACAATAAAGTGATCACCTCTTTCGGCCTCAGTAGTGGCCAACGCCAAAGCTAGTGCCCACCATTGGTTAAAAAATCTTTGATGCGTGTGAAATACAGAGACAGATGAGCAATAACATGTCTACAATAACTGGGGAATTTTCTATCGCCAAGTCCTTTAAAAGATTCATTTAAATTTCTGAAGTTTATAAAATTTAAATGGAAAGTTTTAATTTTATTTTCTAAAGATATTAAGATTTAGCATTGTATTTAAGATTATTTGCTGTTACTTTTGTTATGGAGTACTCCGGTCCTTAAACAAATCCTCATTTTTTTTTAACTGAGAAATGAACAAAATATTATTACTTTATAAAGAAACGAAGACTCAAGAAACAGAAATTAAACGAAAGAAATCTTGTAATCTTAAACAAGAACCATATGTGGTTTTCATGTTCAAATATAAATAGTAAAAGCCTATATAAATAACAAATAACATAAACATAAATAACATAAACTTTCAAATAGAATTTCAATGTACCATTTTCTTACTCTTAATAGGCTTATAAGGTATTTCTTATAAGGTTTTTTCTAGTGTGCCTTCGTGGTGTAGTGGTTTTACACGCTGGGCCGGTATTCCAGAGGTCCGTGGCTCGATTCCCGGCGAATGCGTTTGCTAATTTTTCATCTTGCCTGCTTCCAAAAAAAAAAAAAAAAAAAAAATGTCCCTATAGTGGCGCCCGAACTAAAAGGGTGATGGATGGTGATTCTCCTCACCCAGGATTTGGCGATTGGGTCCCCCAAAACCCTAGTTTCCCTTTAAAAAGGGGAGTATATAAGGTATTTCTCCCGTTTTCCTACGAGGCTTCGTGGTGGAGTGGTTCTACACGCTGGGCAGGTATTCCAGAGGTCCGTGGTTCGATTCCCGGCGAAAGCGTTTGCTAATTTTTCATCTTGTCTGCTTCCAAAAAATACCTAATGTCTCTACAGGCTTAAAATGTAACTTCGTTTGAAATTCGCTTAAAGTTCTACAATGGACAGATTAAAAGCAATTTTGAGAATAAATTTAATTTCATTTGGTGATCATTTACTTACTTATAATTTACTCAACTAATAAGAAAAGAAAGTGGAATAAGAAATAACAGGCATTAAAGTAAATTTATTCAAAAAATATTGATAAGTGAGGGAGAAATTTAAAACTAAATATTTAGAGAGCTTTAATTTGATACTGAGACGAAATAATTAATGCCACTTTTTGCGTTAATGAGAAATGTCAAAAAAATAGCTTCCGCTACTTATTAAACTCACTGGATAATAAACTCACTAGCTTATTGTTTTCAAATTTCCAAGAACCAATACGAATACACGGTTTCTGCCGTTTAGTAAACTCATTGGTTAATAAACTCAGCCGCTTATTGCTCTCAAATTTCCAGTTACCAAAACGATCACATACTAGTCAATAGAAAAAACGCCGTTATTGGATTGGAATGGAGTATTCAATTATGGCAAAGCACACGAGGGCTATCTGCTTAAAGGGAGGGATGCCTTCGTGGAGGACTTTCTAAGGGAAACTGGCTCGTATACACGTTACACATGGGGAAAACCACGAAAACGCCCATGCAGACAGCCCGTTCGCGGGATTCGAACCTCGGACCGAACTACCAGTGTTCAGCGTCTTTACCGCTCGACCGCTGGTGGGCCAAAACGCCGTTATTAAATTGATCTCCACCGCTTATAAAACTCAAAATGGGGAAAGTCTTGATTACTCAAATTCGTTATAAATGGCCAGTGTAATAAGAACCAAAATTTTATGAAATGTTGGTTGCACTTCCCTAGTTTCTGTGAGACATTTTTAGCAAATCACTTTGTCTGGACTAGAGTTGAGAGTGACAGGATACCTTTAGCTTATGGTTAACAAAAGCAGTCGTCTAGAGACACAGGAAACAAGCTGCTTGATTCAAAATTAATGAGTATTTCTCTAGATGAAAGAATAGGTGAAGTTTAAATGAACTCTAGTTCCCTTTCTCGAACACTATCTGATAGGGTATGGTGTAGTACACAATTAAGTTGGCAGGGTGTTCTCAGAAAACATCACGAATTGCTTCCATGAATTATCTTACATGTTGATCTTTGGTTGAAAAATGAAAGTGGGAAAATGGAAGCTGAAAAAAAAGAAAAGAAAGCATTGATTATGGCTATAATAACCACGAAGTGACAAGTCGACTTTACAGACAAAGGTAGGTGCAGCATTCCTGCTGGCAAGAAAAGGAAATTTTGGGATTGAACAAATCACTGTAGGAAATAGTTTTTAGTTTCAATGTGCGTGACATGTCATATGTCGAAAATGCCTAAACGAAATGGTTTAAGCTTGAAAGAATAAATTGCTGAAAGATTATGATACGTTTGGTAAATACAGCCAAAGAGAAGCAGTTAAACTGCGGATTTTCCAAACAGCCTTGTGCAATTTACTTAAACAAAGAAATAAAAGTGATAAAGAAGTAGTGAAAAAGACAAATGTCTTAGGCGAGAGCAAAGGGGATAGAAAACAGAAAGACTTAGAAACCGTTCTTCTAGAATTTTTTCAAGCTATAAGACTAAAAAATATTCTAGTTTCTAGAACTCTTTTTATCAGAAATGCTGTAGAAATCGGTAAAACGCTAGGAGAAAATTTTGTACCAACTGATGAATGGATCACAAAAGAGAAATATCATTGTTTGTCGGAAACTACACAGTGAGAATCAAGGGGTATATCACCTTTCGACGGAGAAGTGGATAAAAGACGTTTTACCCGGCCTTCTAAAAGAATACAAGCCACACAAAATTTACAATAAAGATGAAACTGGTATTTTTTACACAGAATTACCGGAACACGCATTAATGTTTAAAAGTGAAATTAAAAGAACGAGTTACTGTGTTATTAACGTGCAGTATGGATACGACATTAAGAGGACGCTACTAGTTATTGGGTAAAGTAGAAAACTAAGATGTTTAAAATTAGTCAAGAATTTATCACTAACTTACTATAATAACAAGAACTCATTGATGAAAACCAGTACTTTGACCGATTTTCATTTAAAATAGAGCAGAGAACTTTAAAACGAAAAAATAGCTTTACTGTTAGATAGCTGTGTTGCACATCCCTCTGATATTATTTTGAAAAATATTACATTAGTGTTTCTCCTTGCAAATATGACTTCTGGGTTCAGCCTTTAGACCAAAGTATTATAAAATCTTTCGAATGTCATTAAAACAAAGGTGTCATTTAAAAAAACGATAAACAAAACTGAAGTTTATAAAAATGGTAGAAGAAGATAACTAAGTCGAAGGAGACACTTCGAAGGATATAACTAAGTCGATATCATTGCTACAGGTTATGCATATTATAATCAACACATGTTAAACAGGCTCCCAAAACGTAGTTAAAATTTGCTTTAGAAAATGTGGTTTTTATTTAAAAGAAGCCAGTGAGGAATTAAAAGCTATTTCTAATATTTCGGACATTAATCGGGAAAATTATGAAGATTAGTTTTTAGATACATTGCAACTGATGATAATATTTAGACAGCATGTGAAAATACTGACTACAGTGTTGAAGAATTGTAGTCTCTACAGCATAGCGGCGCTAAAAATACTGTCGAGACGAACGTCCTTTCGAAAGGTTGGTGGAAAGGGAAGTCGGGTAGAATACCCTCGGATCTCCTCTCCGAGGAATTTTCCTTCAAAATTGGGATGGTGATGAGCCCTAGGTAAACAAAATAAATATTTTCAGCATTTCCTCACGAAGTTACATTAAGCGCAATAAATAGCTCTAAGAATATCACCGAATATTTTTTAGATACTTGTTTATGAAACAATGTAAACAAACCTTATCAAAAGAGAACAAATTCGAGCAATGTATTCCGCAAACTGGTTAAGAGGTAGCGGCAGGTTATATTTATTTCCTTATACTCTCATGATTTGATAAAATTTTTATAAAGTCATGAATACTAAAGATGAGATAAAATGAGTGTTATTAGTAAGATCTGAGAAAGTTGTGAGTATGGTTTTTTTATCTGATAAGGAATAGAAAAAAAAATTAGAATCGAATTCGGAATCGCTTTTCCTTTAATAAAAAGTTTGGTTAAAGTATAATTTTAGTTAGTTTGTAAACCAAATGCATTTGGTTTACAAACTGATTAATAAGAAACAATAAATACGCATAATTTGGAAACAGAAAACTTGGATGTAAGAATCATACCACCATCATCTTCTAACAGATAAGCTCGTTGGACAGCTGCTTGATCAATCCAGCTATTTAAGAACTGACTAATATTTTGGACAGTTTGTAGCCTGATTAAAAAGTCTTCTGGAACCTGTAAAACAAAAAAGTAATGTTTATTAGCAACCAAGTAGACAAAAATATAAAAAGATGAGAACGTAACTTAAGTCAAAGTTTGGAAGTCAAAATGTCAGTCTGTGGCATTTATGTTTAGGTTTTAATAACAAAATATCATTTAATTCTTTACTTTCTGTCTCTTTTCGCCACGAAGTTCGATCTTTCTAGAATTTATGCAGATTTGAGTGGTAAGCAGCTTTACTATAAAGTTTAAAAGATTTGCTAATATAGTGTTAGAGTTTGGCGTGCGTTTCCCTGCTCTGCCTACTGTAGAAAACTGATTGCTGGCGACGCTAATGTTGATCTTGCTGGGAATATTTTAGATTGAGGTTAGATCCTGTTTTGGTAAGTGTGTGCTTGAAATTCTGTCGCGGTATAGACAATTTTGTAGTCATTTGTCAAACTAGATTTAATTTGTTGCATTTGTATCCTTTACGAAAGGAAGCTTTGAGTTTTAAATTGGGTCCAGGTTGGCTGGTAAATTTATGCTTGTATATTTTAATTTAAGCATTCATAAGTGGTGATTGGTTGAGTTTGGTTTGGTTTATTAGCTTACGGCAAAGCACTCGAGGGCTATCTGCCTTAAGGAAGGGGTGCCTTCATGGAGGACTTTTTAAGGTAAAGGGGCTCGTATACACGTTACACATGGGGAACACCATGCAGCCAGCCCTTTCGTCATAAATGGTGAATAGAACAGACTTAGTGTTTTACTTTTGTGTCTGTCTGCTTGATAATTAGATGATATTCTAGTGGTGATAATTCACAGAATAAAAATAATACCTTATTGATACCATATTTAAGTTAACTGGAACCCAAAACAGGCGCTACAAGTCAACTTTTTTTTCAGAATAAATTTCAAGATTAGTGCTTCATTTTAGTCATTCCCCTGATAAAGTATTCTACTAGAGCAATGCAGTAAAAAGTTGGGAATAAATTGTAACTGAAGGTGAAATTTTTTATGTCTCTGATCATGAATTGTGGTACTTGAAAATTCACACTATTCTTAAAGATGTTAATAATAATTATGAATGATCATGAATGAAACGTAAGATTATGAATCAAAGATAGTGCTTGGCTACTTATATTGTAATTTAATCGTTTACAAACCGTCACTCGGCGATTAAGCAAAGACGATATCCTGTATAAGGATGACGTAAGTGGGGCAGTTGACTGAGATGAACTATTAAAAGAGACACCAAATTAATTATAAAAAGTTAAAAATTCATTTCAAAAAAGAAATAATTCTTATTAACTTTTCAATTTGGAAATATAACAAACGCCCGGGGAGTTTTCTGATTTGCCTATTAGTTTGAGCTTATGGTTGCCTATTGCATTGCTGCATGCCAAGACTGTGACTTTCTCCTTGCTTGTTTTATAGCCAGGTACCGATTTTTCTTCCCTGGATGCCAGCGTTTTCGAAGGTAGCATTCGAAAATTCAAACCGGTCTTATCACAGTTATAAATTTGATCTCCAGGTATACCCTCCGTTTCATTTAGTTTGTAGAAATTATACTTGAATATTGCAGCATTTTCCAAGTTAGCAGATAGCTTTTCGTTACAAACATTTAACTGTTTGATACCGTACCGCCTTTTCCATTTGTCAAGCCAGTCATCACTAGTAATAAATCCAGGCTCTCCTTCTAGAGATTCATAATAAAATTTTAGGGCTTTCGCTTGTAAAATTGGTCCTGAAAAGGGTGTTTTCTGTTCCTTTTGCTACTTGAACACAAGTAAAGCGCCTCGCTCACTTTTTCGTATTCACCAACTTCCAATACTTTTTCTTTCCATTAAACAATTTCGGACCTTTTCTTTTTCCACCCTATCAAAGTAGTCCGTCCAACAACTAAATCCATGGTAATTTTGTTTACACTTTCTCCTTTGTTCAGTTTCTTTAAGGCATGTATAGTTTCATTTTGATTGCCATTTTAGTTTGTTTTTCTTTTCTTTTCGAACGGCATTTTCACTTCAAAGAATATCAAAAGTTTCCAAAAATATGTTAACATTTATACGTCTGGATGTGAAAGGAACAATACCCGCAATGAACTGGTATACGTTTAGTTTGCAATAAGATGCTGTCACAAAACTTCAGACAAGTCTCTTAACGTTTCGCAACAATACAATGGAATGTGAGTAAGCGGCCACTTGCTACCTGACTTTTTTCGTATCCTCAAAAGAAACAAACAGCGTTGCCAAGTATTACAGCATATCTTGAAATTTGTTAGGTAGTTCCAAGAATTAATAGCACAATGCGAAAATGGCAAAAATTACAGAAAAAGAACACTCAAATCTTTGAACAGAACAGGAAAGATATACGCATAAATAATAATGATATGTACTGTATGTAATATTTGCTCAGTTTGGCTTAGAGGTATCAAAAGTTCCTAAAAAGTTATCGAGTCACACGGAATGTCGAGATATTGGGAGTCGAGTTTGCAGGACTATAGTATATTGGAGGTACTTAGTATATTGGAGTTGATTTACATTTTGGGTAATGAGCTTCATAGACTAAACATGCTTAGGAAACAATATACCACCGACAGCAACAATTCTCAGCTCTCTCCCTTTAATCTGAACTACAGCTTTTACTGTTTTTATTTTGCTGCAGCAAGTTTTCCAACAAGCAACGCAACAAGAGTCCACTAAACTGAACATGGATGATTCGGCGGTTAACTTTAGTTATTTCCTCAGACTCAACACAGACCATTAGAAAACCATCGGAGGATTAAACAAATGTATTTAAAAAGGAAAGATACCGTATCATCAGTTTCTTTTTCCATCTTTTGCATAAAGCTCAGCTTGCTCCTTTTTCCGTTATAAAGCTCATCGTTGGAGGAACTAATTTTAATTTTTGTTCCACTTTTAATTTTCTTTAAAAATGTAGAATTGGTTTCATTTACGGTTTTTCCTGGAATAGCTTCATCTATTGCTAAACGAACTAAATGAATCCGACCTTAGTTTTATTTCCTGCTAAGACTGGAATTTAGAGAGAGAAGGTGTGAATACATTTTTCTTCATCTGGTTTGTTTTATTGTTTATAATAATACAATAAAATGAATTGTTTAAAGTTAAATAGTAAACAAGATAAAATACCTCATTTATTTCGTTGATATTAATCAAATAACTTTAAAATTGACTTTGTTGCGAAAGATTTATAGAAATATTTCTGACTAATTGTAAAATAACCAGTATTAAGAGAACAACTATATCGATAATCGTCAATACCAGTGGTACTGAAAAAGTATTCCTAATATAAGTGATACGATATTCATGTAATTATATTAAAAAATATAACTTTCTCATTAGCAATTTTATTAAAGTGCACCAGAAATTACAAAATACTGACGATAAAGAACAACGAATAACATAACAGAAAACATAACGAAATAACATAACGAACATAACATAACGAAACGTAACATAACGAAATAACACAACAGAAAACTACTAAACTAAAATTCGTACTTCCTACGCTCGAGCTAAGGGCGAAGTGGGCGAGTTCACTGCCGCGCTAACAGTTTTTACGTAAACTACATGACGTGAATTGGCTGCGCACGCAGTCGAACAACAGACTGCCACAGAGCTATGACTAAGATTCTTAAGAAATAATTTCAATCAAAGATTGATTTACCCAACAGATGACAAGCGGATAAGCCCTCTGAACATTGATTGCTCAACCTCGGCTGCTTTCATTTTTGTGCCTGTGTGTCAAGTGAATACAAGCCGCTTTCTTTCATAAAGCCTTTCACAAATGCATCAGTCCCCTTAAGCAGATATCTCTCTACTTTTCGCCCTAATCAGTTAACCAAACCAATTCGAAGACTTATCTAAGTTTTAATGATTTAATATTATGAAGTGTTTAAAATGAGATAAAAAATTTGCATCTCGTATTTTATGTTATTGTAGAGGCAATAAATTCATTTTGAAGCAAGAGTCATGAAAAATGTGCAATGCCTTCGCCGGGACTCGAACCTCAGACCTCTCAAATACGCGGCGAGTGTGCTGACTACTACACCACAAAGCCATACTAAGAAGGTGGGAGAAGTATCTTATATACTTCCCCTTTTAAAGTACGACTGGGGATTAGGGAACCCAGTCGCCAAATCCTGGTGGTGGAGAATCATCATCCACCACCTTTTTTTAGTTCAGGCGCCAGTATAGAGACATTAGGTTATTTTGATCCGGGAGACGTGATAAATGAGCAATGCTCTCGCCGGAACTCCAACCTCGGATCTCTCGAATACGCGCCGAGGCTGTTGACCATTGCACCCCAAAGGCATGCTAAGAAGGCGGGGAGAAATACCTTATAATGCAATGTGTAGTGTATTATTATTATTTAAGACGTATGCACAGAACCATACATACACACACACACACATATATATATATATATATATATATAATATATAATTAATCAATACTGTCTAGGAAATAAATTATATATATATATATATATATATATATATATATATATATATGATTAATTGAAATTCATTGAAATCGAAGTAAAATTTCTAATACTTGCGAAATAGCTGCAAATATATATACATTTAAGATATAAAATATGTGACTCAAAATTATTAAGTTTAATTTGCCAACATGCCTTTTTGTTCCTCATTTAAATTTGGTTATATCCCCTTCCTGTTCTAAATTGGTTATAATAATTTGTCTGGATTGCGTTTTTCCCTTGCAGACTTGCATATGTAATACTTCTGCATTGCGACAGTTCGTATCCAATCGCAAATCCAGAATTTAAACAAAGAAATCAAGTCCATAAATATTACTGCTACTACAGCGCAGCCCCTTTTTTTTCGACGTCGCCTTCTTGCTGGCAGCGTATCGTTTAACCTATTCGCCATTGTACTGAAAATGTAAGCTGTGCGAAATTGTGGGGTGCATAGGGCATCCATAAATTATGATGTGTGAATCTATTTATGCATATCAAGGTTTTCTCTATAAGAAATAAAATTATGCTTTGAA